GGTATGCTTGGGATCATTGTCCTGTTGAAAGGTCCAACGTCTCCCAAGCCTCAGGTGTGTGACGGACTGCATCACGTTTCCATCCAATATCTCCTGGTACTGAAGAGAATTCATGGTACCTTGCACACGCTGAAGCTTCCCTGTACCTGCAGAAGCAAAACAGCCCCAAAGCATGATTGACCCTCCACCATGCTTCACAGTAGGCAAGGTGTTCTTTTCATCATAGGCCTTGTTCTTCCTCCTCCAAACATAGCGTTGATCCATGGGCCCAAACAGTTCTAATTTTGTTTCATCAGTCCACAGAACACTTCCACACAACTTTTGTGGTTTGTCCACATGGCTTTTGGCATACTGCAGTCGACTCTTCTTATTCTTTGGAGACAGCAAGGGGGTACGCCTGGGAGTTCTGGCACGGAGGCCTTCATTACGCAGTGTGCGTCTTATTGTCTGGGCTGAAACTTCTGTACCCACATCTGACAAATCTTTCTCAGTTCCTCAGCAGTCACACGGGGACTTCTCTCCACTCTACGCTTCAGGTAGCGCACAGCAGTCGAAGTCAGCATCTTCTTTCTGCCACGACCAGGTAGCGTTTCAACAGTGCCCTTTGCCTTGAATTTGCGAATGATGCTTCCTAAGGTGTCTCTTGGTATGTTTAACATCTTTGCAATCTTCTTATAGCCATTGCCCTTCCTGTGAAGAGAAATCACCTCTTCTCTTCTTGTCTTCCTGGACCATTCTCTTGCCTTCACCATGTTTGTAACCACACCAGTAAATGTCTAGAAGGAGCTGAGTATCACAGTCATTTTAAAGCTGCCTAATTGGTGCTTATTATGCTTGATTGCTGCTCGGTGACATCCACAGGTGTTTTCAATACCTGATGGAAAGCACCTGTATGAACCTCTGTTCTTCAGAGTGGTAGTCTTTAAGGGGTTGAATAATTGTGGCAATGAAGAAACCACATAAGAACCATTTACTACTGTATTACATAAACAATTGATGTCATTTTAGTTGCATTTGGGTAGTTACAACGTCCTTGTAGGATTTGATTCTGAATACAATTCCAAATGTACACTATAGTCCCTAAAAACCCCTTTACAGCATTGGGGGTTGAATAATTTTGGACACAACTGTATATATATACATACATAGGATATACAAAGTCTACACACCCCTGTTAAAATGTCAGGTTTCTGTTATGTAAAACAATGAGACAAAGATGAATCATTTCAGAACTTTTTCCACCTTTTGTGACCTATAAACTGTACAACTCAATTGAAAAACAAACTGAAATCTTTTAAAGGGGGGGGAGTAAAAATGAAAAACTAAAATAATGTGGTTGCATAAGTGTGCACAGTAGTCAGTACACACTTGCCATCAATTAAAGTGCCTCTGATTAACGCTAAATAAAATTCAGCTGTTCTAGTAGGTCTTTCCTGACACTTTCTTCGTCGCATCCTACAGCAAAAGCCGTGGTCCACAGAGAGCTTCCAAAGTATCAGAAGGATCTCATTGTTAAAAGGTATCAGTCAGGAGAAGGGTACAAAAGAATTTCCAAGGAATTACATATACCATAGAACACAGTGAAGACAGTCATCATCAAGTGGAGATAATATGGTGCAACAGTGACATTACCAAGAACTGAACGTCTCTCAAAAATTGATGAAAATATGAGAAGAAAACTGGTCTGGGAGGCTGCCAAGAGGCCTACAGCAACATTAAAGGAGCTGCAGGAATATCTGGCAAGTACTGGCTGTGTGGTACATGTGACAACAATCTCCCGTATTCTTCATATGTCTGGGCTATGGGGTAGAGTGGCAAGACGGAAGCCTTTTCTTACGAAGAAAAACATCCAAGCTCGGCTAAATTTTGCAAAACACATCTCAAGTCTCCCAAAAGCCTGTGGGAAAATGTGTTATGGTCTGATGAAACCAAGGTTGAACTTTTTGGTCATAATTCCAAAAGATATGTTTGGCGCAAAAACAAAACTGCACATCACCAAAAACACCATACCCACAGTGAAGCATGGTGGTGGTAGCATCATGATTTGGGGCTGTTTTTCTTCAGCTGGAACTGGGGCCTTAGTCAAGGTAGAGGGAATTATGAACAGTTCCAAATACCAGTCCATATTGGCACAAATAGGGTGATCTGAAGAGGGCTGTGCACAGGAGATGCCCTTGCAATCTGACAGATTTGGAGTGTTTTTGCAAGGAAGAGTGGCCAAATATTGCCAAATCAAGATGTGCCATGGTGATAGACTCATACCCAAAAAGACCGAGTGTTTGAATCAAATCAAAAGGTGCTTCAACAAAGTATTAATTTAAAGGTGTATACACTTATACAACCATATTATTTTAGTTTTTTATTTTTACTTCTCCACCTAAAAGATTTCAGTTTGTTGTTCAACTGAATTGTACAGGTTATAGGTTACATTAAAGGTGGAACAATTTCTGAAATGATTAATCTTGGTCTCATTGTGTTATATGCATTGTAATCATACGCTGAGCACCCATAACCTACTATTGAATAGGTCCCCCTTTTACCACCAAAACAGCCCTGGCCTTTCGAGGCATGGGTGCCACTAGACCTCTGACGGTATGCTGAGGTATCTGGCACCAAGCCGTCAGTAGCACATTCTAAATGGCCGGTTCACACCGGGAATCAAGTAGGAATGCATTGTGCTTTCCTGTGCAATTTTACATGCAGTTCTGTACGTTGTGATTTCAGCCCATTCATTTTGAATATGCTGAATTCACACCGCACCAAAAGTAGTGCATACACTACTTTTGGAAACTCACTGCAACTGCATTTTTTTTTCTGCATCAAAAACACACGGATAGTAGGTTTTATGGTTTCCAACGGCATAGTTCACACTAGTGGGGTCACTTCCAGTGCATTCTAGTTCCAGAAAAAAAAGTAAAACATGCTGCATTTTTTCTGTACTGAACCGTACTGGAACATGGTAAAAAGCACCAGAGGAAAGTAAAAAAAAAGGGGGAAAAAATGCACCGGAACATGTAAAAAAAAACTCACATACAGAAACTCATCCGGAACACATCCAGACTGCGTTTCTGTAGTGTGATTCATCCCTTACAGCAAAAGTTGTGATTTGCAATCAACAGCTACCTATATGTCTGGATCTACTGTTTGAATTTGTACATTGGGATCGATTTCCTGAAGGCAAATAGACTGCTCACTTCGCAAGAGAAGTTGCATTTTTGGAATTTTGTTTTTGGGCGGGGATTTGCCCTAGGGCTTAGTGAATGTGAGTGTTTTTTTTTTTTTATATTTCTTCATAATTAAGTTTGGGTATTTTTTTCCTTTTGCTACAAAAAAAAAAACCTCTTACCTTTTATGTGTGGAAGGCACACGAGACTGAGGGGTTGTCATACTAACTAAGCAATGTTAGTGCATCGATCTCCCCCGCTGAGCTATTTTGTTCTGACAGGTGGACTGCCCCCTCACCCTCCAGAACACAATGATCTGTGCTCACAGCCATTGGCTACAAGGGCTGATCAAATGCTGGTTTTCCAGCATGCCCATTTGATATAAAAGCCAGTTGTTAGACCACCTTTTTGTCAGACAGGCTACTGTATACATGGGCCGAATGTCTGGCGGTTTGTCAACTAAAAAAATGGATGTAAAAATCTTACTTTCATTGATTACAAATCCTGAGTGTAGTCAGTGTAGAAAGAAGACAACTGTTGGAAAGGACAAGGAGTTGTAAAGAAAATTATTTGAAGTCCTTCCTGGACTATAGAACACCTTTCCTTCTATTCATCATTATAACTTCTTCTTAATTCATTTTCTCAGCACTTGCTCTGCTGTACTGAGAATCCAGTGAACATTACAGAGAATGTTAGTTGGTGGTGTCATCACATAGTTTTGTAGTCCAGAGGAGGATACTCAGGCATAACTGACAACACTGCTTGGCACTTCAGTGCAGCAGAAACAGCTTAGTCAGCTCACTACAGAAAATTAAGATCACCCTGGAGTTTTGGCAAGATGAAAATTTATAATTTTTTTACTTGCAATGTTTTTAAAGAGACAAAATGTGCAGAAGTGTGCATGTATTGCAAGGATTACTAATTGTACGTTTTGTTTTATTTTGCCAAAACATACATTTCAAGCCATGGAGGCAGTAATGAAATGGTGACATTTAAAATAAGACTGGATCATTTTCCTACAGTTAGTTATAAAGGGAATTTTGTTTCATCCAGTGTGGCCAAATTGCCAGCAGTTGGAGCAAAGCTGCACAGTGGCTAAGTGTCGGTTCGAGTTCCAACCACGACACTACTTGCCTGGAGTTTACATGTTCTCCCTGTGCCTGCATGGGTTTCCTCCCGGTACTCGGGTTTCCTCCCGGTACTCCGGTTTCCTCCTACACAAGACATCCTGGTAGGTTATTTGACTCCTTTGTAAATTGGCCCTAGTATATGTATGTATGAATGTAATTTAGGGACCTTAGATTGTACACCCCTTGAGAGCAGGGATTTATGTGAATGTACAATATATTTGTGAAACGCTGCGTAAATTGATGACGCTATATAAGTACCGGTAATAAATAATAATTTGTGGCTTTTCAGCATTGTCGCCCTGTCACATGCACTTCAGGTAGAGACTATAAACAGCTGAGTGGATGCTAGTTGCAGGGGCATATTATGCTGTTGTCACCATCAGCAAGCACACCCTGATCAATGATGATCATTGGTGTGCGTGCATGTAGACAAGAAGGTCAGAGAGGCTGGAGGAGAACATCAGCAATAGAATGCAGAAAAGGATAAAAGAAAAGATGAAAACAGTGTTTCCTGAAAGAAAAGAAATGGTAATAGATGATGATATAAAGTTATTTGGAAAACGAAACGTCATCCACTTACATATACATCTTCAACTCTTGTATGTATAAATTTCTGATACTGTGTGCACAGAGCTGTGCTCTCAAATCTGAAAGTGTGGTCAGTTAAAAAAACAATTTGTGTTTTTAAATTCTTCATAATTTTTAGGTCATTCAGCAAGCATTGAACCGTCCTCCGAGCTCTGCAGCCCAGTATCTTCAGCAGATGTACGCAGCCCAACAGCAACATCTAATGCTGCAAACAGCAGCCCTGCAGCAACAACACTTGAGCAGCTCCCAGCTCCAGAGTCTGGCCTCTGTCCAGCAGGTATTCTCTTTAAAACATTCTTATCTACAGTGTCATATGTAACCATGTTGTAATTCCATTGCAAACATGAAATAATACATTGTGAAAAGGATTGCATTACTTTGTGTGTATTACTATCACACCTGCAGCAAGTTCCATTTTACTATTGTAATAAATAATAATTATATAAAAAATTGTGGCATGACTGCATAACTTTCATGTCCTTTTGGTTTGTCTGGGGATGAATGATAAACTTAAAGGCACACTTTACTGTGAAATCACATGCTCAACTTCACAATATATTTTTCCATTTGCGCTCTAAAGAAAAATGTGCTGTAAAAAGAATTTCAAAGAAAATAAAGAAAAAAAATGTGCTGTAAAAAGAATTTCACAGAAAATAAAGAAAAAAAATGTGCTGTAAAAAGAATTGCAATAAAATGCGCTATTCTTAAGGCTTCGCTCATACTCTTGAATATCTCTAACATGGGGAGCTGTGTGTACAAAGACTTCAGAAAACCAAAGACATGTATGGTATGTGATGGCTGAAGCTTTGTAATTTGTCTCAAGTTTTGACCCCAGAGGAGAAAAAGAAATGTAAAAATGCCCAAACTAGGTAAGAAAATATTCACTTTATTGCAGGAAGCCTAAGGCAACCATACATTGCAAGGAAAGAAAATTGCTCGATTCCTATGCCTCCTGCAGAACGTTTGTATTCTAACAGTGGGAGGTTTTTCAGCCATCAGAATACAATGATCACTGCTGGCTGCTATAGCTGCTGGCAGTGATCAAATGAAAAAAAACTACAGACTGATTGTACTGAAGTCACACAAATAATCGACTTCAGTACAACCAGCCTGCCCATACATGGATCGAAATTTATCCAGTTCCTGCTGAACCAGACAATTTTCAATCTGTTTATGGCCAGTTTAAGGAGCTTGTTTCCCCCCCCCCCCCATGTCATTCCTGCGAGCAATTGATTGCGTGCATTTCCCCCACTCTCTGAGTTCTGGTGGTTTTTCCTAAACAAAACATGATGGGGTTGTTGTGCACTACATTTTAATCAGGCAGTGTTGTGGGAGATTAACATAGATACACAAGGTAATCTGAAAATATATTTACTCATTTATTTGGATGGTGGAAGAGTCTGGTGGCTCTTGTAAGCAATCTTCCGTGATCTAGATAAATAACTGTGTAAATGGATAAGAGTGCTATAATAATGCTAGGTGGCAGGGAAATAATGAATAATTAATGAGCTGTGTAAACATTTTCTTGCTGAGAAAGATGTTGTGAATTTCTCAATTGTTTCTGCATATCTGATTGTGCAGGAGGGTGCTGTAGCCAAATTCCAGAGAAGTTCTCCAATGTGTTGTCATTTCCCTATTAATGCTTTTGGATAAAGTATGCCTTCATTATAAAATATAATTCCCAAAGTATGATATGTGCCATACTTTGCTGCAGTTCATATTTAATGATGGGGGTCAACAGGAGGATCTCATAAGCAGGTACACTAACATCCTCTGCAGGTGAATCTTCCTGGTGCATGTGTTTGAAATGACAGTAATTGAGTCACTGCTAGTAAATATTTGGTGAAAGTCACATTCACTGGTTTTTACATAGACCCCCATAGTGTTTGTGATGATGCTAAAGCCTCCAAGATTTTGTGTCCTACCCATGCCCTACAGCTGTTTGTGGAACCTAGGCAGCCATGGGGAGGTAGATTGGGCTGCAGAGTAAAAGTGACGGCCTTCTCGCTTCTCCAAATTTCATCCTAGGCTCCACCTTTGTGGTTGAAGGATACTGGGTATTACAGGGTGGTACTCTCTACTTTTACTGTAAGGAAAGAATACATTGGATGTTAGTATAATTATAAGTAGTGAGTATCTGTGACATGTAAGGCTGTAGAAAGAAGTACCTACTCATACTACTGAGTATCAGTGACATCTCTCTTCACCCCCGTGCTTCCATTACCTTTAGTTCTGTTGATAGATTTGCCCACAAAAATTCTATCTTCAAAGGATTATCTCCTTTTGCTGGTCTTTGAGCTGAAAAAGTACTCAGATAATATATACAGTGGGGAAAATTATTATTTGATCCCCTGCAGATTTTATAATTTTGCCCACTTTTAAAAAAATGAAGGGTCTATATTTTTATCATAGGCATATTTTCAATGATAGAGCTAGAATATCAACCAAAAATCCAGAAAAAACACGATACAAATGTTATGAATTGAATTTTATTTTAGTGAATAAAATAAGTATTTGATCCTCAACCAACCAGCAATAATTCTGGCTCCCACAGACTGGCTATGTGCTCATGTGGTACACAGATTAGTCCTGTCAATTTAAGAAGGTGCTCCTAACGACAACTCGTAATGTGTATAAAAGACACCTGTCTACAGAATCTCTTTCTTCCATTGAAACCTACCCATCATGGGCAAATGACCAAAGAGCTGTCAAAGGACATCAGGGAAAAGATTGCAGACCTGCACAAGGCTGGAATGGGCTACAAGACCATCAGCAAGAAACTTGATTAGCAGATGACAACTGTTGCAGCAATTATTCGCAAATGGAAGAAATACAAAATAATAATCAATCACCCTCGGTCTGGAGCTCCATGCAAGATTTCGCCTCTTGGGGTAAGGATGATCAAGAGAAAAAGGGAGGGATCAGCCCAGAATTACACGGGAGGAGCTTGTGAATGATCTCAAGGCAGTTGGAACCACAGTCACCAAACAAACCATTGGTAACACAATACGCTGACATGGATTGAAATCCTACAGAAGTTTGCTAATGAACAGCTAAATGATTCAGAGAAGGATTTAGAGAAAGTACTGTGGTCAGATGAGACCAAAATGGAACTCTTTGGCATTAACTTGACTTGCTGCATTTGAAGGAAGAAAAATGCTGACTATGACCCTAAGAACAGCATCCCTACAGTCAAGCACAGAGATGTAAACAATATGCTTTGAGGCTGTTTCTCTGCTAAAGGTACAGGCCAGCTTTGCCACATTGAGGGGCCAGTGGATGGAGCCATATATTGTAACATATTGGAACCTTCTTCCCTCAGCAAGAACACTGAAGAAGTGTCATGGATGGGTCTTCCAGCATAACAATGACCCAAAACATACCGCCAAGGCAACAAAGGAGTGGCTTAAGAAGAAGCATATTAAGGTCATGGAGTGGAGCCAGTCTCCAGACCTTAATCCTATAGAAAATAAATGTAGGGAGTTGAAACTTTGAGTTGCCAAGCAACAGCCAAAAAACCTTAAGGATTTAGAGAAGATCTGTAAAGAAGAGTGGACCAAAATCCCTCCTGAGATGTGTGCAAACCTGATAACCAACTACAAGAACGTCTTACCTCTGTGCTTGCCAACAAGGGTTTCTTCACCAAGTACTAAGTCATGTTTTGCTTGGGGATCAAATACCTATTTTACTCCATGAACTGCAACTCAATTTATAACATTTGTATCATGTTTCTTCTTGGCTTTTGGTTGATATTTTGTCTCTATCATTGAAAATATACCTATAATAAAAATTATAGAACCTTCATTTCTTTGTAAGTGGGCAAACTTACAAAATCTGCAGGGGATCAAATAATTATTTTCCCCACTGTATATAGAGCTGCTTTAGCACTGCTCCATTGCAAAAACGTGGTAAAAACATATATGCGTTTTTGATTTTGGTGTTCTGGTTGCCTCAGCATGCACCTGTGAAAAATGGACGCGTGCTTCAAAAATGCAACCACAGGTGTATTTTTGATGCATTTTTTGATAAGCTTTCCATTCATTTCAATTGGGTTTTTGGTGTTTTTTAACATCCGCCAATCGCGTACCAAAAATGCAGCAAGCAGGACTTTTAAAATCACAACTGAAATGCAACAGACTGGTGTGAAGAGTTCCATAGGATTTAAAGGGATGTATTTTTCATGCATTTTTCTTCTGCTATTGTAACAAAAAAACTGATCAAAAACTGATCACTGTGAAAGGGCCCTAAGAATATATTTAACTAATATATTTAAACTTTGAACTGGCTCCAGTTTAAGCAGTCGTGGTACCACATTTTTTTTTTAGATTGGCTAAAATGTATAATCAGAGTGGTTAAACTGTAACTAAGGGCAATTTTTGGGGGGATACAGTAAGGAATAGCTATAGCACCCGTTTTTTTTTTTTTTTTTACATCTGTGTGCCATTGGGGAGATTTCCCTTCACTCCCTTTCACATAGCTAAAACATGAAGTGAAAGGAAATCCCTTCAACATGAGGGAATCCTGGCATGTCATCAGTGTCCCCACTGGAAGTTTTCCTCTCTATTACTGTTGTGGTGTCAGCCCAAAATTTGAGCTTTTCTTTTACTTTCACTTTCAGTGATAATGGTAAACAAGGGTGAATCAAAAGGTTTTGCCTTTAGATTCACTTGAAAGAACTGACAGTAAAGGTTTCACTCTCCCTGTTCAGTTTCATTTATTTTATGTTATGGGGAATGCAATAGGTGGTGTGTGGAGGTAAAGTGAAATGCCACAGAGTGGAGTGACCCTTTAACAGTCTCACACAAAGTGGTGACCTATTTATAGTTCCTTGTTTAAAAAAAAAGTTGACATCATTGAATTGTAAAGATTATTATGAAAAGATTATTTACTAGCTGGCAAATCAATATATTGTTAGCCAGCAAATAAAGGGAATATATTGGTGTTGATTTACTAAAACTGGAGAGAGCTAAACCTGGTGCAGTTGTGTATAGAAACCAATCAGCTTCCATGTTTTCTTTTGTTAAAGTTTAGTTGAACAAGCTGAAGTTAGGAGCTGATTGGTTACCATGCACAGCTGCACCAGATTTTGCACTCCAGTTTTAGTACATCAACCCCCATAGTCTTGTCAATTTTTTAGATGTATATGAAAAAGATTAGCTTTGTTGAAATAATGTTATTCATGTATGTTAATGTTTTGAATAAAAAAAAAATGTTCCTGCAGTATACATATTTTTGTTTTTATGTATGTCCACAGGGCAGCCATTACATGCTCAATACATGTTCAGTCTCTGCTTCTTGCTATACAGCATTCCACAGTGATTGTACCTTACAGCTTTCTCGTGCGATGCAAATCTATTAGTTGGACAACTCACTGAAAACAGTGCACGTCCTGTGCGGCAGAGTTGGAAGCACAAGCATGCAAAATTGTTGTATTGTATGTTATTTTAAAGGCAAATTTGTCTTTATTATTTTATATAAAGTTAACAAGCAGAGCATAGGAAATATAAAAAACAAGTACAAATACAGAAACAAAAGAAAAACATCAGAGAGGTGGTTATGATCCATGTGGATAAATAAAGATAGTACAATATAACAGTGGGAGGAAAGGATCGATAACCAATATTACGGAGGTAGAACATAACAGATTAGTACATGATTTTAAAGTAGAACTATAGGCATAACATTTTTTTTCATTTTGGATAGAGCAAGGAAGTGTTATAACCCCTGTCAGATTTTTTTCACCATCTGTGGAGATTTCTGTTTGCTTCCTGTCGCAAAGGGAGAGGAAATCCATGAAGATTAAAGGAATTCCTTGGGGAGCCCAAGGTCACCAGAGCTAGTGTCCCCATTGGAAAATTTCCTCTCTATTACTTTATTGGGGACAACCCAAAATTTGGGATTTTCTTATGATTTTACTTTCAATGATATTGGTAAACAGGACAGATAGAGAGGGTGAATCTCCCTAATGGGGACACAGACAACAATAAAAACTGATAGTTGTTCTAATCCCTCTGCACTCTATCCAAAACTAAAAAAAAATGCCGTTAGTTGTACTTTAAATTTCATACTGTAATAATAACTCAAAGTATACACTTGCTGAAAAACACTACACTAACCCTTTAAAATGGTGTTACTGCTGGCCATGTGTTATATACCTAGTAACTATAATATTATTGTAATATGTGATTCCTTATGTTTTTATTAGTGTTTTCTTCTTATTGTCCTTGTTCCTAGGCAGGTGTGTCTGGCGACAGACAGTCTGTTTCCCCCACTACGGCTAACCAGCAATCAAGTGTCCCACAGCCATCTGTAAGTGCCAGAACATCTATTGTTCCCAGTGCTACTACTGACCTTTAGAATTTATTGCCATCCAACCTTCTCATAATTAAACTATTTTTATTTGCAATCTACTAAAAGTGTTCTTTTGTAGCCATGTTATCAGTTATTAGACTTACGTACAATGATATTCAGCCATACTAGCTAAGATGTTGCTCTCTACTGTTTGGTAATTACTGTAATTAATTTCATTGCTGTGTAATTAGTATATTGAGTAGAACATATCCCAAAGTGGAGGAAAGATCCAGCTATTAGTTAAATATTTAAAAAAGACGAGGAGCCAGGTTTCCGTACATTTGGAGGGAGAATAAAAGTGTTTTCTATTTCTGTTTCTAAAAGGGAAAGGTCTCTGTTATAATGTTTATTAGATGTAAGCATACTATAATAATAATAATAGTAATAATAGTATACACAATTTTAATCTCACATTTTGGGTATCAATGGTTCATTTATTTTAGTTCTTTATCCTCCATTTTCCATACATGCATCATCTACCTTTTATCAAAAAAATCCAATTTCTAATAATTTTATTATCATTTCTTTTACAAAGGTTTTATTATTGGTCAGTAAAACAGAGAGAGACATCAGTAGGACAGTTACATTCAATATGGAATAGGTGTGGGCGTAAAAAGCATACAAACCAGTGTACACAGCCATACAATGTAAAGATCAAAAATGCAAGCTGCTGCATAGGTGTTAGTAGCATTAGAGTCTTAGGCCTGGTTCACACCAGTGCGTTTTTTTAGTGCTATTTGCAGAGCTCACTACAGTCCATTTAACATGGTTTCCTATGCGACACATTCACATCTATGCTTTTTTGAGCAGCTGCACTTTTGGAAAGGGTCATGGACTTTCTTTTAAATGCAAAAAGTAGCATTTTTGCTGCAATAGAGTGCAATGGATATGCTGCTGAAATGCATGTAGTGCATTTTTGACGCAATTTGCATTTTTATCCTGACCAGCAACAAAAACATTTCCCTTTAACAAAAAAAACACTGAAAAAAAAAAATGCAAAAGGTGGCAAAAATACATGTGTAATAACACATAAAAACGTATGTAGGGAGCATAAATCATCATTACAAGGATTTTTCTTATTGTAAATGTCTAGGCCAGGGGGACTCCTGGCGGCCAGGCAGTCTCATTAACTGATCAAAAAGTAAGGAAGCGAAGAAAAAGACCGAAAGCTGGAGAAATAAAAGAGGAGGAAATGAAAGAAGAGGAGGAAGCATCCAAGGGGTTTGCAACACGGGGCTATTAGAACAACAAAAGAGTATTGTCAAACTGAGATGGCTGGGCATGGGCAGTCATGGGTTGCCACACCAGGAGAAATTTCTTGTGGGTATAGCGGTTCATTTTTTATTGACCATAATGTCGTTCATGCATTTTTTTTCCCTGATTCAAAGCTAAGGGTTGGGGTTTTCCAGGCTCTTGCTATAGTCAATTTGGTAGTAGTAAAGAGCAGTAAGGTGATGTAATGCCAATTTCTGCGTCGGGCGAAGTAATTCTGCAGTCGGTTTACTGAGAAGGGTCTCATATTGATTCCTCTTGAGGTCAGTATGCAACAATGTACGGAGTAGCGCATAGACCATAACTCAAAGTCTGAACATCTTTGGACAGGACCACAAGGTATGTGCCATTGTGCCCACAAGTGAGCATCCTCAGGAACAGTTTGGTGAGTAAGCAGGAATAAAATGTTCCAGCCTAGCCAGCGTATACTACCATCTGTACAGAATCTTATAAGAATTTTCCATATAAGTACATTCTTGGAGCTCTTGGATAGTGTTAATGTCACAATCTTCCAGTCCTCTGTTTCCACCTTTCTTGTGACCTATGGACTGTACAACTCAATTGAAAAACAAACTGAAATCTTTTTTTGGGGGGGGGGGGGGGAGTAAACATAAAAAACTAAAATAATGTAGTTGCATAAGTGTGCACACCCTCTTATAACTGGGGATGTAGCTGTGTTCAGAATTAAGCAATCACAGTCAAAATCATGAATAAGTCAGTCAGTACACAACTGCCATCATTTAAAGTGCCTCTGATTAACCCTAAATGAAGTTCAGCTGTTCTAGTAGGTCTTTCCTGACGTTTTCTTGCATCCTGCAGCAAAAGCCATGGTGCGCAGAGAGCTTCCAAAGCATCAGAGGGATCTCATTGTTACAAGGTATCAGTCAGGAGAAGGGTACAAAAGAATTTCCAAGGCAGTAGATATACCATGGAACACAGTGAAGACCGTCATCATCAAGTGGAGAAAATATGGTGCAACAGTGACATTACCAAGAACTGGACGTCCCTCCAAAATTGATGAAAAGAAAAACTGGTCTGGGAGGCTGTCAAGAGGCCTACGGCAACATTAAAGGCGCTGCAGGATCTGCCAAGTACTGGCTGTGTGGTACATGTGACAACAATCTCCCATATTCTTCATATGTCTGAGCTATGGGGTAGAGTTGCAAGATGGAAACCTCCCAGAGTTTCTGAAAAGCATGTGGGAAAATGTGTTATGGTCTGATGAAACCAAGATTGAACGTTTTGGCCATAATTCCAAAAGATATGTTTGGGGCAAAAACAACACTGCACATCACCAAAAGAACACCATACCCACAGTGAAGCATGGTGGTGGCAGCATCATGCTTTGGGGCTGTTTTTCTTCAGCTGGAACTGGGGCCTTAGTCAAGGTAGAGGGAATTATGAACAGTTCCAAATACCAGTGAATATTGGCACAAATAGGGTGATATGAAGAGGGCAGATTTATGGGGTGATCTGAAGAGGGCTGTGCACAGGAGATGCCCTCGCAATCTGACAGATTTGGAGTGTTTTTGCAAGGAAGACTGGGCAAATATTGCCAAGTCAAGATGTGCCACTATATTGGCACAAAACCTGCAGGCTTCTGCTAGAAAGCTGAACATAAAGAGGAACTTCATCTTTCAGCATGACAATGACGCAAAGCATACATCAAATCAACAAAGGAATGGCTTCACCAGAAGAAGATTAAAGTTTTGGATTTTCCCAGCCAAAGACCAGACCTGAATCTGATCGAAAATCTGTGGGGTGATCTGAAGATGGCTGTGCACAGGAAATGCCCTCGCAATCTGACAGATTTGGAGTGTTTTTGCAAGGAAGAGTGGGCAAATATTGTCAAGATGTGCCATGTTGATAGACTCAAACCCAAAAAGACAGTGCTGTAATCAAATCAAAAGGTGCTTCAACAAATTTTTTGTTTAAGGGTGTGCACACTTATATAACCATATTATTTTAGTTTTTTATTTTTACTTCCCTCCATCTAAAAGGTTTCAGTTTGTTTTTCAATTGAGTTGTACAGTTTATTGGTCACATTAAAAGGTGGAAAAAGTTCTGAAATTATTTATCTTTGTCTCATTTTTGTACATCACAGAAACCTGACATTTTAACAGGGGTGTGTAGACTTTTTATATCCACTGTATAGTGGCCCACAGTGAAAGGTATAAAAAATAAAATGAGGTCAGCACTAATCCAAAAACTCAGAAAGTGAAAAGTATGATGTGTAGCTGCATGCAATGGATACCGATATACCAAGATCCTATAAGTGCTAAAAAGAAAAGTTGCAGCGCTAAACACAAAAATATTAAATAATGTCAATAGATAAATACCATCCAATGCGAAAAAATAAAATTCACATAAAACAAAAAATATTATACATAAGTCCAATGGTGTTCAAATCAATGATGGTGGACTGCGATAAACTGAATAGAATAGTCCCAATGTCCACTGTATAATAAATCTTCACCCAGTGATCCAGGAACAACAAATGTGTCACCTCCACCAATGGCTAGAATGAAAACTCACCAGAAGATGTTGCTGTTTAGAAAACCAGCAATAGCACTTGTATGATAATAAATTCCCAAGGTACGATCCTTCAGTGTATCAGAAAACCCGATAGTCCTCCTCTATCCCACTCCACCAAATGTCAGTACATGCACTTTCATCCTCCGAAATCCACCAACAAATCTCTCATAGTGTAGTAGTTTTAATAAATTGCATATACAAATAAAATAGCCAATTGAACAAAGAAACCGCTGTGTATTCACTTACATAAAGGGCCGCCAGATACTTGCAATGGTGGCACGACCTCCAGCAATAATGCCTAAGAACCCAGCGCTGTTTCATGCAACACCGCGTCTTCAGGGGTTCATAAACCATAAAAGCGGCCATCATTTTGCAGCCCATCTTTACAGACGTTGAGACGTCACATTTTCCTGTGGTCTAAAGGAAGTGTAATTAAATCACATCAAGTATTGGCACCATTTCTTATAGTCTGCCATCATGTTGAAGATCAACTCACAAGATCTAAAAGGTCACAAAAACGGGGCCCATTTTATTAATCCAGAAAACATAAAAAGGATAAATCAAATACTTAGATGGCCTACGTATCTTGATAGAACTAAAATCACAATAATAGATACATACTGACATAAAAATGTTTTTTTTGGTGGAGGGAAATCTCAAACTAAATAAAATATATATAATAATAAAAAACAGAAAAACATATAAATTAAATAATTAATATATTTAAAAAATAATAATTATATAATATATAAAAATTAGCTGGTATCAATAAAACAATTAATATCCCTATCTACATTTAAGATTTTAATTCATGCAGCCATTTCATTTCAAGTTTAGAAATTTCTCTTCTACGGTGGCATCCTCGCCAATGAGGTTGTCATTTAGTAATTGCTGTAACTTTGAGGCCCCTAGGGTCTCTTATGTGATGTTGCCAAACATTTGCTGACAAACTATGTTTTTTAAACCCTTTTTTTTATATTGTAAACATGATCCCTAAGGCGATCTCTCAGCCTTTGTCAAGGATCTGGGTATGACCAGAGATGTGTGGACTGACACAGGGAACAGCAGGCTTCAGGAATGATGTAATAATAATATAATATATTAAGAGCTGCAAAAATATACAAAAAATGCACAGTAAACAAAAACCAAACCTTCAGCTAGTATCAATATGTACAGGAACACAGACGTAGTCAGGGCTGGAGAGGTGGAGTGGTCAGGCAGGCCGGGTCAGGAATAATCTAGCAGATATGGCACAGAGGGGCAGGCAAAAGGACAGTCAAAAAGGAGAGCCGGGTCAGTGCAGGCAGAGTTCAGTTGTGGTCAGAATCGAGCAGGAGAGTCAAGCAGGTAGAAGACAGGATACAGGTTCAGGATAACAAGGGCTCATGGGAAAACACCAAGGCACTGATTGCAGGCCTGGTACTGCTTAAATACACCTCCTGCAATCAGCCTCAGGTGATGGCTTGATTGCAGGAGTGAGATCCTGGCTGCTGAAAAGCACCTGCTGGTGAGAACTGATACTGCAGCCCACACAGCAGGTGAGCCCCAGCACCACCAGCGGTGAGTCCTTTCCTGACAGCCTTCTAGTAATCCTACCAAGATATTGTTTCTAACATGGACACTCCAAGAGATACACTATATATTTAGATTCACGTGTCATACATGTATCAATGAAGTATTGTTTAACAATAACCATTTACTGGTAAACTGGTAGTCACTACTTTTTTCTTCCTAGTATTATTAACCGTACAAATCATGCATCTATCTAAGGGTAAAATCCTTTAGGATGCATGATGAAAAAGAAGGTGAGGGTTTAGGAGGGTCAATTACATTTGGGGCCAGTTTATCCCTCAAATTAGGGGCTCTCCTAAAAATAACCTCTGGCTGATCCAGCAAGATCTTCCTGAGAACTGGATCCCTTTTTAATATACCCCATCTCCTCTTAAGTATTTGTTTGATCTGGCTATATTGAACAGAAAAGTTAGTAATAAAAGGGCAAAAAATTTTATTCTCTTTTTTCTGTTTAGTCTCTCTGTTCATCCTTCCTACTTCCCGAATAGCATCATTTAATAAAGCCTTCTTATATCCTTTTTCTAAAAATCTGTTTTTAAGTAAATTGGCTTGCTCAATATAATCTTCCATATCATGACAATTTTACCTCATTATCAAAATATTTGTCCCTTAGGAACATTCTTGAGCCAGAGTGGATGGTGGCATATTTCCAAGGGAATATAACTATTTTATGTTTTTTTATGTTTTAAAATAAGACTTTGTATAAATTTCTCCCTCTACAATTCCTCAAATTCAAATCTAGAAAGTTGACTGTATCCTTACTATATATGTATAAAAAATTGATGTTGTAATTATTGTGGTTCAAATAGGCCATAAATTCAATTAATGATGACTCACCCCCCCCCTTCCAAAGAAGAAGGATATCATCAATGTATTGCTTATATAAAAGTAAATTAACCCATTGTTTATTGAAAATAACCTCAGATTCCCACTTTGACATAAATAAATAAACAAACTGGGGGCAAATTTTGCCCCCCTAGCTACCCCCCTCTTTTGCAAGTAAAGCATGTTGTTGAACCAACAATAATTGTGTGACATCGCAGAATCTAATAATGATATAATGAACCCCTTTTGAGCTGAAGGGATGTCCGAGTTTCTAAGGTACAACTGAGCTGCCTCCCTTCCATCAGCATGTTCTATGTTTGTGTATAGGGAAGCAACATCAGCTGTCACCAAGAACGTATCCTGGTCTACACAGCGAAAGGTGGTGGGTCTCATGAAGGTGAGACAGGGGAGCAATGGTGGCCGCTAAATAATAAGCCTGAAGATTCAGGACCGAGAGGCCACCATTGGTCTTACGTGCTAACAGGACCTGTTTGTTGATTCTAGGTCTGAAAGATCCCCAGATAAATTTCAAGAGTTTGCATTGGTGTATACGTAGGATATGAAAGGGAACTGGAACAATTTTATTATAATTTCAACAGTAAATGTTTGCTAGTGTATATTTAAACCTCATTATGACCATGGCACACATGAAAGGTGGTGTTGCAGCCAGGGTTATAGGGCTGTTCCATTCCAGGTTTTCATTACTAAAACAGAGAACACTGCAAAAAAGAAAAAGAGACCCATGGGGGTTATTCATACATGCTTTCACAAGATTCACACAACTTTCAACCAAGATTCAGGCATTTTTCTAATTAGATTCATTTTGAACAATATGTAAATATTGGGTGAATACATTTATAAATAGGCCCCATATTATATTGACTTTTCACTTAGCACTCTTGTACCTATGACTAGTGACAGAACCTGTTTAAAGGATAATTTCACCTTTCGGAGCATGTTACACGTTACACCCATATTTTGGGGTACCCACCTGCCGCCGCCAGTGCTCCCCTATCTGTGACAGCGGCGGGGGTTCTCAGAAAGCAGCGGAGCCCTGCCTGGTCACATCATTCATTCACAATTTCTTGTAAATGAATAGACTACAAGTACTGTCAGCCATTTTGGTTGATTGCTTGTAGTTCTCAATGAACTGCAAGGGCGCTGGTGAATGTTCTCCTAGTTCATTGATTCTTCCTGCCATTCAGAAACTGACTGCCTGTATGAGGTATGGGCATACAGTGTACTGAGAGTCTGCAGGATCCTGGCATTGCACCCCTGATCTGCTGATCATAGGTAGAATGCTTTATAGGCTCTATTGTAAAAGAAAAAAATATAAAATGCACATTTTTTTACCTGCAAAAAGATGTGTGTTTATTATCTTTTTCACAAAAGGTGAACTTAGCATTTAATCAAAGAAATGAGTCACAGACTTGTAATCCTAGTAGATCCTGAGAACACAGTCTAGTTGGTTTTAAGGAAATGCTAATTAAAGGTCTTTACACATTTTTTTAGGCTGTAAATCAAGTGAGGTAATGAACCATAAGATATTGGTTTGCCTCCCCGTGGCTTGTTTTTTATTTCACAATTAGAGGGTGTTTATGTATTGTAAAAGAGGGTTCCTGAAAATCAAAGTCTAAACAAAGTACCTTAGATAGCTGTTGAGGAAATCCTTCTAATATTCCAAAACCATTGTATTTATAGTTTTTTTTGTTGCCTTTGTTATCACTTGCATATAATGTTTTAGCTGTTGATTGTAAATATTAGAATATTATTCAGCCTTCTTTTACATTGCTTAATGGGTAAAGTTATATCTTGGACTGTATCTTTTAAGGGAATATTAACTTCCTAGGATCCAGCTCCAAGATACACAGTAATAATTTTCCCTGGAAGTCCTCTTTGGTACTGTTAAAGGATCAGTTCACCTTTGAAAAAAAAATGCACATTTTTTGTAGGTTTAAAAAATGTGTATTTATTATCTTTTTCTAAGCAGCCTATTGAGCATAGCACATATGAACATATCCCTTATGCCGGCCATAGACGGGTCAAAAATCGGCCGATTTTCACTCCGTTAGTGGGTTAATTGGTCAGCTGTTTTTTCGGGGTTTTTGCACTTTTTTTTGTCAGGCATGTTGGAAAATTTGTGGCCGATTTTGACGAATGGCCGATTTTCCCGGCAATGATGGGTAAAACGGCCGATCGTGTTACCGGTAAAAAAATCTGCACATGAGCCGTGACCTGCAAGAAGAAGAAAAAGAAATAGAAGAAAAGAATAATTCCAATCCGCTATTATATTGATATGAAAAAGTCTTGCGGTTGCAACAAATGTATCCATTTGTATCCAAATAAAAACATCTGTATCCAAATAAAAACATTGTAATCCAAATAATGTATTACAATGTTTTTATTTGGATACAGATGTTTTTTATTTGGATACAAATGGATACATTTGTTGCAACCGCAAGACTTTTTCATATAAAATATAATAGTGGACTGGAATTCTTCTTCCTCTTCTTCTTCTTCTTCTTTTTATTCTTTTTATTCTTCTTCTGCTTCTTCTTCTTCTTCTTATTTTTTTTATTCTTCTTCTAATTCTTCTTCTTATGTATTGCTGTCACATTGTATGGTGTGCTCCCCTGTCTCTGCAAGGGACAGAAGTTATGGGGCTAATGCCGGCCGTAGATGGGACGAAAATTGGCCGATTTTTTTTAACGTTGGTGGTAACGTTGGCCGATCGAACGACCGATTTTGTGGTTTTTTGTTTTTTAAATCGGCCGATGTTCGACCCGTCTATGGCCTGCTTTAACCTGGTTGGCCATGGATGGATTGAAATGGATTGAAATTCAGCCGGTTCAGCAGGAACTGGCCAAATTTTGATTCATCAATGGCCGGTCCTGCTCCAGAGCAGTCGATCTACTGATTGACTGCTCATGAACAGGCTTGCTAGAAAGCTTTAGTTCAATCAGTTCTGCAGCGCTGATCAGTGTATTCTTACACAACAATGACAAAGCAGGGAGGATTGCCCCATCTACATCAAATGGGTGGATGGGGTAATGGGTTCTTTTTTTTTTTTTGTTCAACCCACTAGCTGAACAAAAAAACAGAGCCATGTATGGCTAGCTTTATTCTACCAGAAGGAAAGGAGCACATGGGCAGCACATTGGTACAAAATAACTGGAAACTCTATGTCCTAGTCCAATTTTTCTGCAAATAACTTTATCATGTAAACTTTACAAAGGTAAACTGAACAAAATAAAAATTGTCTTTGCATTTCTTGCTAGCTCAATCTATCGTCTTCACCTCCACCTACCCAAATCATAAGCCGATCACAGACATCTAGTACCACAAGCAGCAGTATCACCCAAAAAACAATGCTACTGGGAAGTACATCACCCACGCTGAGCGCAAGCCAGGCTCAGATGTATCTGCGAGCTCAAATGGTGAGTTTCTCTTTGTCCATTGATGTCATCTCCCTCACCTGAAAAAGTGTGTAATTTTACCCAAGCATAAATATGTGAATGACATCACATACAGTGATCAATTACAGTAAATACAGGTTTCTTTTTTAGGCTTTTTTCCGTATTTTTTTCACATGGTGATCTGGCCAGTAACACACCTCCTGTATTAGATTGCCCCCACTGTGGATGAAGGAGCGCTAGGGCACCTTTGGACAGCATCACTGTCAGTCTGGGGGGTGGGGAATGTTTGATGTACTAACAAGTTTAAATACACTAACAAATTGAAGCCAAACTCCAGATCAAACTTTATAATCAGTTACAGCAAATATTTTTTTCTTTTGGGATAAAGGTTTTACATAAATAAATAAAAGCTGATTGTTGTAAGCACTCCTGCTAGTGTTAAATGTTTGTCTGATCACTGTAATTGATAGATTCTGCTGGAAAGCTTGTTCTTTTGAAAAGCAACACACTTACTAGCTGGATCACCAAAGGAAAATAGAAGAAAGAAAGCCTAAAAAAAGAAAACTAATGCAGCCTTCACATCTAAGAATTGGTAGGGTGCAATATAATACATGTTTGCTTGTGGGTTTAATACAACTTTTATCACTTTTATTAGTGTTCATTGAATAAAAGTCCTAGTACTCTACAGGGCTTTCTGCTCCCTCTGTCCAGAAGTTCAGATTTACATTTTTGCCAGTGTTGGTTTATTGTTGATTTATCCTGTTTTCAGGAGCAACAGACCCACCAGTCCTTGAGCTCATGGAAATGTTCACATTTTGTTTGTTGCCATATAAGATCTGTAAATGTGAAACTTTCTAGCTGTACAAACTTTACATTATTAACGTAATGCAGGTAATGAACTTCATTTATCTTAGTGTCCTTGATAAGAGCCCTCTATGATGCTTCATATCAATCTTTGAGGTTGATTTACTAAAGGCAATAAGCTGTTGATGTTGCACTGGAAGTTGCACATTGCAAGTGAATTTTCCCCAGAGCTTAGTGAATGTGGTAAAATCACACTTTGCAAAGAATACCCAGTCACGTGCAAGGAAAATAAATAACAGCATTTTTGCTTCCACGTGATTGAATGATGGAAGTCAGCAGAGCTTCGCCACATTCACTAACCACTGAGTAAAATTCCCTTGCAAAGTGCAATTTCCTTTGTTGAGTGAACAGGCTATTTGCCTTTAGTAAATCAACTTCATGGTTCTGTAGATGAAGATTTTGATTTCTGCACTGTTATAGAAGCTATTAATTTTTCCAGAAACGTTACTAAACGATTCTTAATATAATAAACATACAATACCAAACGATAAACATTAATATAATGTTTTCTTATGGCTTGGATGAATTTCTTGGCTATTACATGTATAGTAGATAGATTGTTTCCTTTTCAGTACAACAAATGCAAGCACATATTATTAGAGATTTTTTACCATGTTTAAAGTATAATTCATCAGTAGCAGGGCTCTGTCCTCTGAGCAATGGAGCCGCTGTGCCAGGTAGCAGGTGCAGGGGCAGCTTGAGGAGAGGTGTTACAGAGGCCGCAACTCTGTACGGACTGCTGGAGCACACGCTGGAACGCACGCTGTCCATGGACCAGAAGTGATGTGAATATGGAGTGGTGACGCGTTTCAGAACATGAGCAGAGCTCCTTCTTCAAGACCAATGTCCAGGCTTAGGGAGAGCCATTTAAATAGGTTTAAGAAGTGGGAAAAGGGGCGGTCAGTGGGAAGGAAGGTACACGCCTCCCAAAGACCAAGCTGGATGTAAATACGGATCAGACTGTTTGGTGTGAAACAATAGGAGACTGGGAAAGCAAGAAATAAAAAACAAAGAGAAATAAAAACAGAACTATGTTTGTAAGGACTGAGTGAGGGTGTATAGCATATTGAAGAATATTTAAAAAACGGGATTTGAACATTATCTAAGAAGATATATATAAACAATAATAAAAATAAAGTTAATAATGTAATTATAATTACAATTGCGAGATGGGTAAGAGGGAAAAGAAGGGGGGGGGGAATGAGTGTGCAGTCGGGTATCTGCTGTGGGTGTGACAAATGATACACATAGGTAACCTGGACATATTAGAATATAAAAAATAAAATCTAAAAATTATAGTCAAGAGGTTACAACATAATCATAGCACATAAGTACAGTCTAAACAAAGGATAACTACATAAATGTGTGTGTAGCAGCAGGCAGAGATGAAACAATATGTGTGTATGTGCATAGATGCACACACGCACAAAAGCACGTATTTACATCCAGCTTGGTCTTTGGGAAGCGTATACCTTCCTTCCCACTGACCGCCCCTTTTCCCAACTCTTTACCCTATAACTGGCTCTCTCTAAGCCTGGACATCGGTCTTGAAGAAGGAGCTCTGCTCATGCTCTGAAACACGTCACCACTCCATGCTCATATCACTTCTGGTCCGTGGACAGCGTGTGTTCCAGCGTGTGCTCCAGCAGTCCGAACAGAGCTGCGGCCATCTTTAACACCTCTCCTCAAGCTCCCCCTGCAGCTGCTGGCTGGCACAGTGGCTCCATCGCTGAGAGGACAGAGCCCTGCTACTGATGGATTACATTAGAGCCTGTTTGTACTACTGCATTGTAAGTGTTTTTAACCGCTTTTATTAAAACTGTTCTGGAATACGGCACTTAGAGGCGTCTTCCTGTTTCACCTTCTTCTGCACAGAGTTTGTCTTCACTCTTCAGAAGTGCTGCTCAGTACTGGTTTCCCTACACACCATCCATCATCAGGTGCCATACTTCCACAGCATCGTCCACCGACACGCCCTACTACCTACTTTAAAGTATAATTCTAGCCAAATATATTTTTTTCTGTTTTGGAGAGAGCAGGGAATGGTTAAAACCATGTTAGATTTAATTTTTCCTATCTGTGTGCCATTTACGAATTTTCACTTCGTGTTATAGAGACACAGCAGGAAGTGAGAACAAATCTCCTCAAAATAAGCTGAAATCCCCTCAGAAGCTGGTATCACCAGAACAGGGTCCTTGAAAGGTTTCTCCTAATTTTCTGTAGCTGTGACATTTTTAGAAGTTTGGGTTTTCTGTCACTTTCTGTTCTGGTGCCCATAGTCACCTGGAAATATAAAAGAAGGTGAGTCACCACAGACCGTAATAAAATCAGGATAGAAGTCCTAACCATGCCCCAAACTAAATAGGAAATACAATTGGCTAGAGATAAACTTTAAAATCTCTAAAACTAAAACCAGACTCTGCATACTTTGTTCTTATATGCACTTGCTTTGTGGTTAAATATTGCTAGCAGTGTACTAAATAGCTACACTGATAATAAATATGAGGCCTAGACAGCATTTCCCATTCGAAGCAGCAAAGGTGGCCCAGTAACACAGGAAGACTGCCTTTGGTAAGTGCTTGGGTCACACAGTATCTTTTTTATTCTTATGTTTATTTCTTGGTTTGCAGCTCATTTTTACACCTGCTGCCACAGTTGCAGCTGTGCAATCTGACATTCCAGTGATTTCGTCATCAACATCTTCAACTTCTTGTCAGTCATCAGCTACTCAGGTGAGCTGCTAAGTCCATAGTCCGTCACTCTTTGAAGATTTTGCACATCTCATGGTAGTCCCTAAAGGCATAGTTCACCTTTACAGAAAACTGCCTATACAGGTAAAGGGTGTCTGTATAGAAAAAACAAATTGTGAATCTTTGATCGAAGTTGAATAATGCCCTTGCTATAGTGTAGGCCTTTTACATACTGTACCTCATGAAGCCTGACTGCAAATCTAGCAGAGGTTGCATTTCCCCCCTCATTGCTCTTCCTCTGTGCTCAATTATTGCTAGGACATTCCCATTTGTTACTGTTCACCTCCACCATGACAGGAGTGAGCTCTTTCTCTGATTCAGACACATGCACACATGCTCTTTCTTCCCCCTGATGCAGTGGCTTTGAGCTCAGCATTTGAGAACTTGAGAGGATTGGGCCTAAGACTGTCAATATACAATACAATTTTCTTTCCTTCAACCATGGGGTGATAGAGAATTGCTTGAGATTCCCCATCAGCACAGCCAGTGTTGATTGGGGAAAACCTCCCACTGCGCCTCTTGTATTCTGACAGTGGAGGTTGCCCCTCTGTCAGAATACAATGCCACCAGCAGTGATCGTACGAAAAAATCCGACAGGTTTCAGCTTCAGTACAACCAGCCTGTCCATAGTTGGATCAAAATTCGTCTGGTTCCTGCTGAACTTAATATTATTATTATCATACAGGATTTATATAGCGCCAACAATTTGCTTGACGCTTTACAATATAACGGGAGACAATACAGCAACAATACAGTTTAATACAAGAGGGTTAGGAGGGCCCTGCTCCTTGGAGCTTACAATCTAAGAGAACTGGCTGAATTTCGATCCTTCTATGGCTGGCCTAAAAGTTGAATTTTGGCTTTTAATTGGGAAGCTGTAGTAGCAGTTGTTGTCAGCAGTGTTAGGACTCATATTTCTATGATGATAGGTTTCCTTAAAGCCAAATATCTACCATCTGGGTTGAGCCATTCTTCCTATTGTCACATATATACAAAGGTCTAAATTGGTGTCTGTGCATTTCTCTCCAATTTGCCTGGGACTGGCCTGCATTGGTAGTTGTAAATTAAACAGATTATTGTTTTCACAGAGTACTTGCTCTTCAGAAAACCTGATTTGCAAAGGTAATTGTGTGTTCCCCTTTTGAAAAGAAAAAAAACTAATAATTAGAAACAATTTTATATTGCATACAGCTTATGGTTTCATTTTAATGCATTGCGTAATATTTACATATCCATTTACAGGCATAATAGCTTTCCACATTTGTCAACTGACTAGTTTCCAATAGACCTTCAGTTCTTTCAGTGTGAGCTTTGTCTTGTTGACTTTCCCAAAGAACAAAAAGGGTGAGAAGCTGTGTGTTGAATTATTCAGATGCAGGCATAAGCAAATAATCTAGTGTCACCGGCTTATTTTTAGTATCTCTGGTTTCAAGTTTTAAAACCTAATATGAAATGACACCCTTGTTTTGTAGTGATAAGTTGTAAAGGAGAAGTACGGCCAAAGCTTTTTTTGGCTATGCTTATCCTATGGATCACAGGAGTGCAGTTCGTTCTGCACTCCTGTGACCTGCTAAAGCCTGCTGTTGGCTGACATCACTCAGCCTTTCCAGGATCTGAAAAGATCCTAGCCATGTGGTGGGGATCCACCCAGAAGCCAAAACAGCATTTGACTCAGCCTCTCAGCATGCTGCTGAGAGCCTTAGCTAGTTGTTCCTGCCCCCTCCACAGACCAGTGCTCCAGTAAGCACTGGAGGGGCAGAGCAGTGAGCTGGTGACTCTCAGCCCACTGAAGACCAAGAGCCGAGAGATCAGTGGTCTTTGATAGCTCAGTATTCACTCTTAGCAGCAGCTGGTAACCAATGCTGCATCCACCTAGGTGAGTATCATTTTTTTTTTTTTTTTACAGAACCCCATACTTCTAAGAGAATAGATCATCTCAATAGCGCAACCAGGGATAATGTATTATATTTGTCTTTTTTTCGTTACGAGAAATGTATAGAAGGGTTAGTGGTGGTCAACTGGAAAATTATGGAGGGCCTCAAGTGCAGGCCCCACACTTCTGTAGGGCAGCACAATAGCAGCACTGAAGAGAAGACATCAATGGTGCTAGTATCCGCAAAAACAAATGCCTAGATTGGTGTCAGTGATTGCAATAATAATCCCTAGTACTGGTACTCAGCAGCATTGGTCGGTATATTACTGAAAAATAACCCCTAGCATTGGTGTCAGTTACCAAAATATTAACTCCCAGCATTAGTGTCAATGACAGTACCCCCCCCCATGTATTTAGGGTCAATGGCAGCACTATTAACCTTCCATCCTTCCTGGTACATTGCTGCTCAGTGGAAATACTCCCCCATGGTTCTGCTCCATTTTTTAGACTGTATCGCAATGCATGCTGAAGGTAAAGTTGGAGTCATCATTAGTGCTATCGGCCACAAAAAAAATTTGCAGATTTGGTGTCAGTGGACACAATAAAATCCCACAACATTGGTGTCAGTGATCACTATATTAACCCCCAGCATTGGTGTCAGTGACCAGAAAAATAGCCCCCAGCATTGATGTCAGTGACCGCAGTAATATCCCCCAACATTGGTTTCAGTGACTGCAATAATGACCCCCAGCAATAGTGTCAGTGGCAGTATTATTCCCTCCATGATGGTAAACTATAGCAGTGCTATTTAACAAGCCCCAGTTTATTATTATTATTATGCAGGATTTATATAGCGCCAACAGTTTGCGCAGCGCTTTACAATATAAGGAAGACAGTACAATTACAATGCATTTCAGTACAGAAGGAATGTGAGGGCCCTGCTCGTGGAGCTTACAATTTAAAGGAAGGGGGAGGTGATACAAAAGGTGATAGATGTGGGGGATGATCTGGTGGAGATGATTCAAGTACAGTTCTTAGGTGGAGGTGGGGTAGGCTTCCCTGAAGAGGTGAGTTTTCAAAGATCGCCTAAAGGCAGACAGGGTGAGGGCTGAATGGACAAGCTCTGGTAGGGAGTTCCAGAGGATGGGAGAGGCTCTGGAGAAGTCCTGGAGGCGAGCGTGGGAGGAGGTGATGAGGGAGCTAGAAAGAAAGATATGGGAGGAGTGGAGTGGGCGATTTGGGCAGTGTCTGTGGATGAGGTTGGCGATGTAGCTAGGGGCAGTGTTGTGGATAGCTTTGTAAGCTGTGGTTAGTATTTAGAATTTTATATATTGGGTTAGTGGAAGCCAGTGAAGGGATTGGCAGAGAGGGGCAGCAGTCGCTGATCGGTTAGTAAGGTGTATGAGTCTAGCATCAGCATTCATAATAGACTGAATGGGCGATAGCCTGTGTAACGGTAGACCAGTGAGGAGGGAGTTGCACTAATCGAGGCGGGATATAACCAAGGCATGGATAAGTTGTTTTGTGGTGTCATTGGTCAGGAAGGGGCAGATTTTCGAAATGTTCCAGAGATTGTGGTGGCAGGATTTAGCCAGTGAGTGGATGTGGGGCCCAAAGGAGAGGTCAGAGTATAGGATTACGCCTAGCACCCTGGTATGAGGGGAAGGACCAATGGTAGTGCTGTTGATCTTAATGGTAAGGTCATGAGTGGGGGACCAGGGAGGAGGAAATATTACAAGCTCAGTTTTTGAAAGATTGAGTTTGAGGTAGTGATGTGACATCCATGCTGATATGTCGCTTAGTAGATTTGTGATACGTGAGGAGATTGAGGGAGTGAGCTGGGGAGTGGAGAGATAGATCTGGGTGTCATTAGCGTAGAGGTGGTATTGGAAGCCATGGGAGGTTATCAGTTGGTCCAGGGAGGAGGTATAGAGAGAGAAAAGGAGGTTCCCAAGAACAGAACCTTGGGGTACCCCAACACAAAGAGGAAGCGGAGAGAGGAGGAGGAGGAGTTGTATGTGACACTGAAAGTGCGCTGAGAAAGGTAAGAGGAGAACCAGGAGAGAGCAGTGTCACAGAGGCCGATGGAGTAGAGTTTACTGAGGAGGAGCGGGTGGTCAACTGTGTCAAAGGCAGCGGAAAGGTCGAGGAGTATGAGTATGGATTAATGGTCGTTGGTTTTAGCAGTTAGTAGGTCATTAGTGAGTTTTAGTAGGGCAGTTTCTGTGGAATGTTGTGGGTGGAAGCCAGACTGTTGGGGATCAAGAAGGTTGTTGTCGGTGAGGTAGCAGTTCATACGGTTGTGAACAAGGCACCCGAGAAGCTTGAAGGCAAACGGGAGCAGGGAGATGGGTCTTAAGTTATTCAAACAGGTGGGGTCCAGTGAGGGTTTTTTGAGGATATAACCAGTGCATGTTTGAGTGGGGAGGGAAACGTGCACATGGAGAGTGAGAGGTTGAAGATGTGGGTTAGAGAGTTTAGGATAGAGCAGGAAGGAGGCTGCAACAGTCGTGAGGGGACAGGATCCAGGGGACAGGTGGTGAAGTGGGCCTTGGAAAGGAGTTCGGTAACTTCCTTCGTGGTAATAGGGTCGAAGGAGGAGAGGTGGTGTTGGGCCTGGTAAGTTGGTTAGAGGAAGAAGCTTGACACTGGAGATCTCATCACGAATTGTGTCGATCTTCTTCTTGAAGTGACTGGCAATCTCCTGTGCGGTAAGTAGGTTGGTGAGTGGAGGTAGTGGGGGGTGGAGTGAGGAATTAAGGGTAGAGAAGAGTTGACAAGGGTTGGATGAGAGGGTCTTGATGAGAGTGTTATAGTAGGTTTGCTTAGCAGCATGGAGGCTGGAGTTGTATTTGGAGTTGATGGTCAGAGGCAGTGTTTTTTAAACCCAATCCACTGCATTGGTGGTCAGTGCAATGTTTTTTGACCACCCTCCTCCCCCTCTGCATTGGTGGTCAGTGGCAATGTTTTTTAATCCCTCGCCTCCTCATTGTTAGCAAGTGACGTTTAACCTGATCCAATTGCTTGCTCCTGTGCCACTCTTTCCACAACTCTTTCCACAACAAGGGCAGTACTATACTTGTTTGTATTGTACGCAAAAGATCACTCA